CTTTTTGGGAATTCACGAAGTCAATTGTTAATGAGTCCTATAAATCACAGCATGCCACAAGGCCAGAGTTAAGATTTCTCTCCGATTCAGAAAGTTTCTAACTGAATTATAGCAGAAATTTTTCCCTTAGGAACATAGCAGCTGGGGCTACAGTATTAACTGAGACAGACATGGTCTCCTATTAGTTTTGGGGACAAGATAGGAAGACAAAACAAACAAGAAATTATACTAACTTATGATAAGGACTGCAGGGAAAACAAACTGAAAACACAAGGCCAAGCCAACACAACCAAGATAGTTTTAGTGAGTGTGTATGTGTTTGTGCTTGAACCTAGAAATGGTATTTAGGAGACTTGTCAATGACTAGGAGCTATCTGGTCAATAGTGTTAAGTCAGAAGAGAGAGAACAAGAATGACCCAGATTTCCTGTGAATTTTTGAAATTGTGGCTAACATGATGCACTTAATAAAAAACATGGGGTTTACACACAAGCCCTAGCTCCCTTCTTTTAGCATCCCATGTACAGATATGTCGACCATATGCTGAAGCTTTATATGTCTCAGTATGTTTGTAGTCTGACAGTCAAATGCTTACAGCTGTGTCCTCAGGATTTACGACATTGTTCCTTATGAAATGGACCTCTGTTTCTATTGCCATGCTTGTTTGTTTGCTTTTACAGTCAGTTAACTGTTCAGGTCAATAACAATTTGGATTGGATGAAATTCTTACAAACAAAACCAAGGACTTAATTTTAGCATAAGAACTGTATAGGACTATCCAAGCAAGTATATGTGTATATATTTCCTATACCGAACATATCCAGATATGGAAACCTGAATCTTTATTGTCAGGATTCCTAAGTGGGAGAATTTTGTCTCATTTTTCAAAATCCGTGCAGTGGAAGACAGCTGGCCAAACATTTGAACCTGTTACTTTCAATTTGAGCTAATAAATAAACATAAAAGAATCCTCTCCAAGTGCTTCTAAATAGAACTATCTTTCTCAAAATAATCTCAAGTTTGAAAGACTATTTGTCTAAATACATTCTACTGCCTGGATGATTCATTTAATTTTTTTTTGGTCAAGTCATTCAGAGGCATCACTGTCATTCTTCAAATCACAGTGGCACTGAGATTGGGTTCACATAATTCTAGACAATTCTCCCCATTTTGGAGAGAGACAGACAGGACGAGCATCCACAGAGAGGTGCATCTAGCCACATTTTCCCAAGTTTCCACATACAGTCTGGAATCCACCCTGTTACCTATTAGACAGCGTTATAAATGAGGACTTTGCAGGGCTTTGGGAATGTGAGAGTGGGGACAGGATGATTATTTATAGTGTTTATTTAATAAAGTCTGGAGAGAACCCTATAAACCACAGACATTTGAAGACGGTCAACTTGATCATCGCAATCTCTTCCTACCTGCCTCTTTGGAAATCTGCGTGAAGGACTCCACACCTTTCTCTCCATAACTTCCTTCAGATGCGAGAGTAGACACATAATTCCAGCCTAGGGCCTTTACAATGTCTACCATGGCCTGGGCTTGGAAGGAATCGGGTGGCACCACGCGAGAGAAGAAGTCATAGCGCCGGTCGTCACTTAGCTCGGGTGCCGTTGACGCATAGCTAATCTGGGGGATCTGCAAAGACAAGAAAGCACCGCGTGAGAGTGCACCATCAGCACGTGAGAGATTCATTCGTACTCGTGACGATTCTCTCATGACAAACACGGGGCTTCAGCTGCAAAGAGGACGCGTGTTTTGCCAAATATCACCTTGCAATTGTACACCAAACACTGTACTGCAATCATCCACTTCTTAGCAGCACAAAAGTATTGTCTTTTTTGCCCCGCCCTTTTATTTTCCCCTCTTAGGAAGATGAAATGAGATCAGCATAGGAATTACAAGGTCAGGGTCGGGTTGTTTGGGAGAAAAGGATTCATAACCATTCTAACAAACATTTTGTATCATGCTTTACTTCTTATAAAAATAGAAATAAAAACACAACAGCCTAACTCAGCTGTGACTAGAGATCGGTTTAGGTGACACAGCTTGGGAATATTGGTGGATATCGTCAACCATCTAACATTGATTGATTGCTGCTGGCCTGCAAGGAAATACCTAAGTAAGTTTCATGCACTGTCTAATTTATTCTTCGCAGGAGTGTTATAAAGCAGCTTTGTAACATTCTTAGCTCCAGGCAAGCGGGTCCCCACCCCAAAGCCTTCACCCGAGTGGTCCTTGCACTTTGGAGGGCCTTCTTAAAATTTTCAAATTCCCTTTTCGGTTTTGGATTGGAGCCGGCAGTCCTGTCTGGGTGGAGCCCGCAAGTGCCTCTGATTCCCGTCTTTTCCGTTTAGGGCCACGTCTGACCCTCTGCCCCACATGGCATTAACCAGATGTCCCGAGGAACTCTAGAACTTGTGCCAGCAGGGTGATCCTAGAGCCCCACAGAAGGACCCTAGGTAACAAATTACTCCCCTTAGTCAGTGTAGTATTTATTTCTTAGGAACATGTGAGGTAAGGCTACCTGAATAGTCCTAACACACTTATTTTACCTAAATAAAAAATGTATGTAGAAAAAGCTGCAAAAAAAAACTTTGCCTGGGATCTAAAATCCCCTAAGGACAGCCCTGAAGTAGCCACATATGAGGAACCTGGCTTAGGACCTAACCTCAGGACCCCTATGCTACAAAACACTGTAACAACACCCCGCCCCCCACCACCCACCTCTTTCTCTTTAGCAAGCAGCAGACAGTGATTGGTACAATTCACATACATGTAAGAATGATCCACCCTGACAAAATTCTGCTTGCAAACTCTTTCAGAACTTTTCCCTGTTTAATCACACCGATTTCTCCAGTATCTAAAGGTCAGTTTTGATCTTTGCTCAGACCAAACCCAACAGTCCAGTTTGGCCAACACATGCCAAAGCTATATTCAAGTTGACTTTTTGAGCCTTAAAAATCCTATTCACTGTTAGCCTATTTCTCTCCTTTCTGTGTAGTTTGCCTAAAGTGTGCCATTTGCCACTGTGTAAGGCTGGTGATCACCTGTGTAAAGATCATTTCCCCACCAACATTTCTTGGTCAGCATTAGGGTTGAGCCAGGTGGCCCTGATGGATGGCCCACCATCTTCATGCTGCCTGTCCATGGTGCACTTCCGGGCTATGACCATAGGAGGGCAGGCTTTCTGTCCCTGACTCACAACCCACAGCCCAAGCGAGAAAGCCTCTGTGACGGCTGATGGATGGGTCTTTACCGGAGCAACTCTTCAATTATAGGGGAGGTCAGGTGTAGTGGAAATAAAATAGGATTTGATGTTGACAAGATCTGGGATCAAAGCTTGGTATTTCTGTTTGATAGTGTTTACTTTGATGAAGTTATTTCACCTCAGTGAGTTGATGAGAGGGAGGAGTAATGAATGTGCATTGCTTAGCAGGATGCCTGGAACAGAGTGAGTGTTTAGAACATGGGGTAATAATAATCAAAGTAGAAAATAGTATGTTTTTCTTTACTACAGTTACCCAGTGCCCACGTTTGACTCCCCAAGTTTTGTGCAACGTTGTCACATTCTCCTTCTTGTCCAACGGCAAGACAATATTTTTACATATTCCTATCATTACTGCTTTAGAAGTAATATCTACTATTTAGTTAACTCTTTATTTTGTGCCAGTCATGTTCTAAAAGTTTTATATGCATTGCCTTATCTAATCATCAGCAAATACCCATACTACACCACATTAGACTATGTTATACTGATAGTAACTTGTTTTACAAAAGAGGAAATTGAGACTTGGAAGCAGAACATGACCTTGCCTGAGGTCACAAAGCTGTAAAAGAGAGAGTGCTGTTCAGATCCAAAACTGTCCATTGCAAATGTCTGAACTCTTACTTACAGAAATGATACTTTGCCGAATTGTTGCTAAAATATTTTAGAAATAAGCATAAAACAAGAAAGGCCAGTAGATTATTAGAGTCCAGGCCAATTTCTGTTCACAGCATTGACTACATAGCCACTAAAAGTTGTTTTCCTGGTCAGTCTTAGACTGCTGTTCAAACATTTTGTTTAAACGCCTTGGAAAAGCTTATATGAATATCTTAATAGAATGAGTTACCTATGTGTCATCTGTAGTTCAGAGGTTACAAGTTTTGAGTAAAGAAAATATCAACTGAATAAAGGCTTTGGGTAGAAAAATACAGGGAGGGAGGGAAGGAGGGAGAGAGAGAGAGGCTTTCCCTCCCAAGAAATAAAAAGGAAAGAAGCCAAGCATGTCAATACATTTCCATCAGTTTCAACTTGTGGAAATGTAAAAGCTTCATGCTGTTGCGCAGATGCCTTCGCTGCCAAAATCCCTTTCTACCTCTGAAAGAGCGCTAATAAAGACACATCCACCCTCGACTTGAATTTGCATTCATGTAGCTGCTGTAAAACATCAGAATTGTGAAGTGCCTCAATGCAAATGCATTTTCTAGACTGTGCCCCAAATTTTAGTAATGAAAATCCTGGTGAAAGAGATTTCTTTCCTCATTACCATGCACCCTTCAAAAATGATTGCTATCTGTGGTCTATCCCTTCCAGTGTAAATAAAAAATATCTCCTGGCCTAAGATTCCTATTTCCCTTCAGGCTCATGTACACCCTCTATCCAGTGATACTCATTGCTACACAATGCATGTAATGATGTAAGAATAAGGAATGAAAGACCAAATGGATTTTTAGTTTTGAGAGTTAAACATGGCTTTATAAGAATATCCCTCCTAGTAATAGAGATGAAGGACTGGAAGAATTTATGTACCATATGAAATATAGTGATATCTATTTATTTCGCTCTTATGCAGCATATTTAGTTACTTGTTTTCAAAGGAATGTTTAAGCCTATATAGTAATTATTTTGAGATGTGTGTTATAACTGGTACATACAACTGATCCAATGATTATTAGTCATCTTTAGTGATTAACCTCCACACTCTCCTTGATATCCAGCTGAACTTATTC